GAATAGATGGTCTTTACCTCAATATACTTAAGGCTGCCTATGACAAATCAACAGTCAGTATCATACTAAATGGCCAAAAATTGAAGATATTTACTTTAAAATCAGGGACAATACAAGGATGTCCCTTATCACCACTCCTATTTAATATAGTACTGGAAATACTGGCCAGAGCAATTAGACAAGAGAGAGAAATAAAAGGCATAAAGATAGGAAAAGAAGAAGTTAAATTATAAGTATTTGCAGATGACATGATACTCTCTATAGAAGATCCCCAAAACTCCATTGAAAGACTCCTAGATAGAATACATAAATTCAGTAATGTAGCTGGATACAGAATCAATACTCAAAAATCAATACATTCCTATACACTAACAGCAAAGCTACAGAGAGACAAATAAGAGACCACACCCTTTACACTAGCAACCAAAAAAATGAAATATTTAGGAATTACTCTCATGAAAGAAGTAAAAGACCTATACAGGGAAAATTATAACACCATGAAAGATGAAACTGAAGATGATCTCAGAAAATGGAAAGACATCCCTTGCTCATGGACATGGAAGAATAAATATTGTGAAAATGGCCATTTTCACAAAAATTTTATAAAGATTCAATGCAATCCCGATGAAAAAAAAACCATCAACATACTTCATAGAAATTGAGAAATCACCCCTAAAATTCATCTGGAGTGAGAAGAAACCTAGAACAGCAAGGACAGTTAAAAGTAGCAAAGGCAAGCTAGGAGGTATCACAATCCCTGACTTGAAGTTATACTACAAAGCAACTGTAGTAAAATCAACATGGTATTGGAACCAAAACAGAGCCAAAAGTCAGTGGAATGGATTAGAAGATACAACAAAAACTACAAACATACACAACCACCTTATCTTTGATAAAGAGGCCAAACATGTTCACTGGAAGACAGTCTCTTCAATAAATAGTGGTGAAAAACTGGCCCTCCCTCTGCCCAAAACTAAAAGTAAGACCCATGCCTATTACCATGTACTAAAATAAAATCTAAATGGATCAAAGATCTAAATATTAAAACAGAAACACTAAATCTATTGGAAGACAAATTGGGTAAAAACCTTGAAGACATAGGAGGAGGTAGAGAATTCATGAACAGGACTCAAACCACATGGGAAATACTTCCCAGAGTCAATAATTGGGATGGCCTCATTAAAAAATTTCTGCACTTCAAAAGAAATCTCCAGCATAGTGAAAAAAAAAAAAAAACCCAAAACTGGGAAAAACATCTTAGTAAACTGCCCTTCAGACAAAGGACTTCTGTCTAAAACATATAAAGAATTAAAAGAAAACCAGACCCCCAAAATTCAAAGACTCAATCCAAAAATGGCCATCTGAGATGAATAAACAATTTTCAGATGAAGAAATACAAATGGCAAATAAATACATGAAAAAATGTTCACCATCAATGGTCATTAGAGAAATGCAAATTAAAACCACCCTGTGATTTCATCTCATTCCTGAAAGAATGGCCAAGATCATTAAAACCAACAACAAATGCTGGAGAGGCTGTGGGGTAAAAGGATATCTCCTGCACTGTTGGTGGCAGTGTAGACTAGTGCAACCATTGACAAGGTCAGTCTGGAGATTATTCAGAAAGCTGGGACTGGAAGCACCTTTTGACCCACCTATTCCATTTCTAGGCATATTCCCAGAAGAACTGAAAGAATCATACCACAGAGATATATGTACACCCATGTTTATAGCCACACAATTTGTAATAGCCAGATCTTGGAAACAATCTAAGTGTCCATCAACTGAGGAATGTATAAAAAAGTTGTGGCATTTTTATACAACGGAGTACTACTCAGTTATAAAGAATGATCACATTGAGATGTAAGTAAATGGACACAGCTTGAGACCATACTCATAAGTGAAATAAATCAAAGTCAGATGTATAAATACAGAATATTTTCCCTAGTGTAAAAAGTGATAAGAATACATAGAAGTATGTGGTAATTATGATTCCCAATCATATTGGTTTGAATCCATATAATGTTTTCACTCATTATGTGCAACAGTTTTAACCTGGGTTGCTTGATTTTAGTATCAGTGATAGTATGAATAGCTATTCTGAAAAAAACAACACATCAAAAAGCTAGTGCTGATTTAATATCATATTTTTTCGAAGTCCCCTCAAGCTGTTGTACATCTGTTTCCATTGGTTTTAACATGTTGTATCTTACTATATTTTACTATATGCAATAGTATAAACAAAATTTTTACAGGCAAAGAGATAATATAGAAACCATTTTTCATTTTCTGTTAACTGATTCTAAGTACCCTGTAATTCTTTCATTTTCTTGAATGCCTTCACACTGTCTTGATATGCTTGATGCTAGAGTACACGAAGTTATACTCAAATAATTCTAGGAAAGAGGCACTATGGTGACTAATATTACGTTACATTATTTGGGGGTGAAACACAATGATGCTTATATTGTTTGGTTCTGACCTGTGTTGTTCTATTACAATGTCCTCTTTTTTTTTTTTTTTTTTTTTTGTCTTTTTCATTTTTATCGGTACCGGGGATCGAACTCACGACCGCCTGCTTGCAAGGCAGGTGCTTATGCCGCTGAGCTAAACCTCCAGCCCCACAATGTCCTCTTTTATCTCAATCTCCACTGTTTTTCAAAAATTAATCTATGTTTTCTTAATTTTTTTCAATTAAGGGAAAACTAAATTGAAAAATAGCGGGATATATTATAGTAACATTTTTGTTTTCTTATTAACCTGATTTGAACCCCACTATTGCTCTCCCCATCTTTTTCTGTCTGATTTTACTGAATTCTATATTGTTTGATAGTATCAAGTTTGAGGGTATAGGCAACCACTTTGAAGGCAATAAGATTTACTATCATGCCCATTATGGTTTGACTATTATCTTGTTTTGAAATACTGTAAGGTCTCCAGTGTAGGTTTTATTGGTCTTGTTCTGTACTGTTTTGATCAGTTCTATTATACCTGATGAGATGGGCAACTCTTTTTAAAAATAGCAAGAGGCACACTCGTAACCATTTTTGATCACCTGATATTCTATTTTTGCATCATGTACTATGCCCATCCTTCTGTTCTAACCGAATCTTTTTTATTTTTTTAGTCATGTTAGGTTTTATTCTCTTCAAAAAAAAGTAATTAGAAGTGTGGCAGTAAAAAAAACACAAAAACTGTAATTGTTATTGTAAAAAAGAGAGGAAATGAAGGTGGTCTAAGGGATATAACTGCATGTTTGAGTGTGTAGGATGGAAAGCCATATTACTGAGCTTTTGTTGGATCATTGAATGGAACTGTCTGCAATCTCACTGTATGAATGTCCACTTTATATGCTTTAATTCTATAATTTGGACAACTGTTTCTAAGATGAAAATATGTAACCTATTAACCAGTGATTTCTTACTGTATTACTTTTCTTGAAATTCTGTATTATTTATACACTTTTAATGCTTTGTTTTTTTATTTCCTTTCTTTTTTCTCTTTAAAAAAAATCAAACCTGGAATGGATATTTTTATTAAATTATTTTTGGTACTGGAGATCAAATTCACGACCTCACACTTGCCAGGCAGGTTCTTAAGCCACTGAGCTAAATCCCCTGCTCCCCAAAGTACGTATTTTACATCTTGTCACCTTCACAGTAGTTGCCTCTACTCTTGGACTTGGTACAAGCAAGCATACCAAATGTGAATAAAATCAGTCAAGGCCAAATAGCATTCAAACAAACTAAAGCTTCAAAGAAGATCAGACATAGAAGACAATGCAAGTAATACAGAGTTTCAGTTTAAGTTAATAGGTAATTAAGGATAGTTACCATGGTATAACCTGCTATTTTTTGTGTTATCTCTCTGTGCCCTCAAATCTAATGTGAGTAGACAGGCTGGAAAAAAATATAATCAAACTAACCAGAGCAATAAGTCTACGGTAACTTTTAAATCCTGATACACTTTTAACAATGCCCTTTGCTTCTTTTTTTAGGCAATTCCTCACCTTTCTCCTTCTCAAGATGCTATTATTCACTGTTGAGAGTGATATTAGTCTATTCTCTGATGTTCAATTTCAGCATACACAAAGATAAAGACAGCTACTATGAAGAGAATGAGAGACATTGTGGTAGTCATTATCGACTTCCCCAAAATCAGTTTTAAGACTGAAAAAGCCTACATCATCCTGTAATTGTTTGATTAGTTCTATGACCTTCAGTATATATTCAATGCATTCTAGATGGGGACAACTATTCAGAAGAAAACTAGAGACAGTAAGATAGACAGTGAACATCTCCAGTGGATGTGCTTTGAAGTCTGTGTTTCCTTAACTTGTTTTCTTAGGAACTGTTCTGTTCTGTTTTGTCATGTTTAATCTTACCCTCTTTAAGAAATAAAACAAGTGTGAAGGACAGATAAGCATATTAATAAGTTTTTGTTGGATCATTGAGGTGAACTGTTGGCAGTGTCATTATTTGAATATCACTTTGTATGCTTTATTTTGTAACTTGAACTACTCCTAAGATGACAATATGTAACTAATCAACTAGTGATTTCTTATTGTTTATTTTTCTGAAATTCTGTATTATTTCTCCACTTTTTTCTGTTTTATCTCTTTAAATAAACATTGAAATTTACCAAAAAAATAAAAATTCAATTTTAAAGACAAAATATTAAGTACATAGAAACTATCCATACTTGAAAGTTAAGGCTGGGGGTTTAGCTCAGCGGCATAAGCACCTGCCTTGCAAGCAGGCAGCCGTGAGTTCGATCCCTGGTACGGATAAAAATGAAAAAGACCAAAAAAAAAAAAAAAAAGAAAGTTAAAAGCCCATTTCAGTTTACCATGTTTAATTACAAGATGTCATGTTGAAGCACCAAGACATTTTAAAAAAATCTAAAGAGGTACAAGTGGTTAACTGAAAACCATACAACATGTGCACTCGAGTAGAGCTCCATCACAGATTTGTCATTTCTGGAACATTTATGAAGAAATATTCACATCAAACTTCTGTATTGGTTATTTCTTCAGGTCTCCTTGGGATTTTTAAAGTAAACTTAGATCTAAACTGTCTGAGGAGTGATACTTTTTCTATGTATTTAACAACAAACATGGATTGCCATATTTCTCACATTGTTAATCCACATAGGATCTCTACCCAGTGAGTTCTTTCAGATATGTAACAATGATCATGTGTGCTGAGAGTATTCCCATAACGCATAGGATTTATCTCTAGTGTGAGTTTTTTCATGAATTTCACTTACAATCTGGCTGCTGAGAGTGTCTCCATTTGCTTACACAGCCAGTGGTTCTTCCCAGTGTGAATTCTTTCATGTGTTTTGCAATGACTGTATGCAGTAAAAGCTTTGCCACATTGTTATATACATTGGGTTTCTCACCAGTGTGAAGTCATTGATGTATTTTACAGTATCCATGTGTGGTGAAAGCTTTCCCACATTCTTCACATACACAGGCTTTCTCAACAGTGTAAATTTTTTCATGTATTGGACAATGAGCATTTCTGCTGAAACCTTTACCAAATTACTTACATATATAATTTTGCTGCCAAGTTTGAAGATTTTCATGCATTATGCAATATATATGTGTGCTCAAATCATTCTCATGATGCTTATATACACTGGTTTTATCTTGAATGTGAACTTTCTTCTTGCTTACAATGTCCATGTAGGGTAAAAACTTTCCCACATTGCTTATACATATGTTTTCTCTCCAGTGTGAATTCTTTCATGTTTCTTACAATTTCCAGAAGTTGTAAAACCTTTTCCACATTGCTTACATACATAGGGTTTCTCTCCAGTGTGAATTCTTTCATGTTTCTTACAATTTCCAGAATTGGTAAAACCTTTTCCACACTGCTTACATACAAAGGGTTTCTCTCCAGTGTGAATTCTTTCATGAATCCTACAATGTGCACGTGTGTTAAAAGCTTTCCCACATTCCTTACATACAAATGGTTTCTCTCCAGTGTGAATTCTTTCATGTTTCTTACAACCTCCCCTTGTGTTAAAAGGTTTCCCACATTGCTTACATACATAAGGTCTCTCTCCAGTGTGAATTCTTTCATGTTCCTTACAATATCTATGTGTGTTAAAAGCTTTCCCACATTGCTTACATACATAAGATTTGTCTCCAGTGTGAATTCTTTCATGTTTCTTGCAATCTGTCTGTGTGTTAAAAGCTTTCCCACATTGCTTACATACATATGGTTTCGCTGCACTGTGAATTCTTTCATGTTGCTTACAATGTCCAGATATGGTGAAACCTTTTCCACACTGCTTACATACATAGGGTTTCTCTCCAGTGTGAATTCTTTCATGTCTCTTACAATGTGCACGTGTGTAAAAATCTTTCCCACATTGCTTACATACATATGGTTTCTCTCCAGTGTGAATTCTTTCATGTTTCTTACAACCTCCCCTTGTGTTGAAAGCTTTCCCACATTGCTGACATACATAGTGTTTCTCTCCAGTGTGAATTCTTTCATGTTCCTTACAATGTCCGTGTTTGGTAAAAGCTTTCCCACATTGCTTACATACATAGGGTTTCTCACCAGTGTGAATTCTCTCATGTTCCTTACAATGTCCTTGTGTCATAAAAGCTTTCCCACATTGCTTACATACATAAGGTTTCTCTCCAGTGTGAATTCTTTCATGCTTCTTACAATTTCCCTGTGTGTTAAAACCTTTCCCACATTGCTTACATACATATGGTTTCTCTCCAGTGTGAACATTTCCATGTATTTGACAATGAATGTTGCTTCTAAAAGCTTTCCCACATTTCTTACATATATGCAATTTCTGCTCAGTGTGAAGTTTTTCATGGATTACACAATAAGTACGTGTGCCGAAAGCTTTCTCACAGTGCTTACATTTATAACATTTTTCTCCAGAGTGAAGACTTTTATGTACTTGACAATATGTATGTGTTGTAAAAGCTTTCCCACACTGATTACATATGTAGGGTCTCTCTCCTCTGTGAATTCTTTCATGTTCCTTACAATGTCCGTGTTTGGTAAAACCTTTCCCACATTGCTTGCATACATAGGGTTTCCCCCCACTGCAATATTTTTCATGGATCTGAACATTGGGTGTTTCTGTTTCTTTCACATTCACATTACCTCCTGCAGTACAAAGGAATATTTCTTTACACTGATTCCAAGATGTATGTCCATAGGATTTCCCTAGCTTGTCATTTCTGTAAAGAAAAAAAATCATATATCGGATTGATAACCATATTAAGCTTTTGTTGGAGAGTTGAACAAAACTGTTTGCAGTCTTGCTTTTTGAATCCCTATTTCATATGTTTCACTTTTGTATTTGATTAACTATTTCTATGAGCAGCATATGTAATCATCGTCTTGTGATTTCTTACTGTTCATTTTCACTTTGAAATTAGTATTATTTCTACTTATTTTGTTTCGTTTAATCTTTCCTTACATTAAATTAAAAAAAAAAGAAAAATTCACAGTGAAATGGGTGTCGGTTTAATGACTGCATTAATGTCAAGTTCTGTTTTTAATGCCTAAGAAATTCTGACCATGAAGCAACAGAATGGCTTTGTAAGATATGTTGAAAACAGCCATTCCCAAAAGACTGGTACACATTTGGAAATCTTAAAAGGTAGTACCTTATGAAATGCAGAATATTTAGCTTCTCTTTGGGCATGGGCACTTATGTGTATCACAGACAGATCATTCTGATATGTTTCCCCATCACAATCTCGCTTCTGTCCTTAACCTGTAGTTCCCTTTTTCATATGGTCAGTCTTTTCTCTATTAATTCTCTTTCACTTCATTCCACAATTTTTATTTTGGTTTCTTATCTAAAAGAAACCCTGTGACCTTTTAGGTTTTATAGCTGAGCTATTTCACTCAATTGCTGGGGGAAAGGCCCATCTGTTTCTTATGGCAAATGACATTATATTATTTATTTTTTGTCATTATATAACACATTTTTTCTTTTCCAGGCTGGAAATGAACAACAGGTATTAGCATAAAATCTATAGCTTTTTAAAATCTGTTTTAAGAGATTTTCATTGATCATTAAGCTTTGAAGTTTGAACTTGGATTTGCCATTCTGCAAAATCTGATTCATAGTGTGCTGGATTTACAAGAATGCACAATCACAGAGAGTCTATTAACATTTTCCTTCTCCACAAATCCAGTGATAGATAGCTAAGCTTCTTCAAGGCCTGATCTATTATAACTTTATCTGCTTTGTAAATGAGTAAGCATGTATCAGTATTTTATGCATATTTTGAGATTTTAAAAATATAACCAAGACAAGTATGAGGGGATCAATTTCCAGAGACAACTGCACACTGATATGCAAAATGAGTGCACTAACATTCCACCAGCCTACTAAGAATTTTAATTAGAATGGCTGATTCTCTAGAACATGGCTTGGAAACATGAGCACTCAGTTTTATTTCAAATTCTATTGCAATCTTAGCAATTTATAGATAATGAATGTGTTGCATTCACATGTATATATTGGTACAAAAAATTGTTAGATAATGAATGTGTTCCATTCACATGTATATTGGTACAAAAACTGAAGGCAGAATGTCATAACTCAAAGTGTATGCCTTTTGTATACATCTATATGCAATGTCATACATTTCCATGATTTAATTCACTCATTATACATACCCTAGCTTATATATCTTCAGAGAATATTATTGACATTAAATTGAATGGTGGTCATTTTTCTGCTGACTCACTAATTACTCAGGAACATTCCTTCTCCTTGTGAGTGCGGATTACCTTAAGTATCTCCAGTAAATTTTGCATTCTTTTTCAGCTTCCTGGATATCCCCAAGTCCTCCTGAATTGTAGACATAGAAATACCAGGACTCATTAGAGTAATATATACAAATTAATAGGTTTTGTTTAGATATATGATATAACATGTCCAGATCTGAGGGAGTTTTAAAAATATTTTCATGTTCTTTTTAATGAAACAGCACTGATGAGCAACAAACAATATTCTGACAGCATGAGTGACAAAAAGATTTCATCCTTACCTATCGCAATCATGTTGCTAAAAGTTTCACCCATCACATCTCTGTAGAGGTTCTTTTGGGATGGACTCAGCAAACTCCACTCTTCATTGCTGAAGTTCACGACCACATCCTCAAAGATTAACGCCTCCTAAAGGATCATACATATATTTCTCAAAGGAAGATTGAGACCCCAGGTTTCGGATATCTTAAACTCTCTCCTACAAATCTGAATCAAAAGCAAAGTGTGGTGGTGCATATCTATAATCCCAGCACTCAAAAGACTGAGCCAAGATGGTTTCGGTGAGTCAGGGCAATTCTAGGCTCCATAGGGTGTTCAAATCCAGCTAATATACATACAGAAAGCTTCTCTCAATAAAACAAAACAAAACTAAACTAATAAAACCAAATAAACAGCTGAATGAAGACTGATTTCTTCAAATTAAATCCATGTCTTTGTCATTAATTTTGTGTATATACACATTTTTGAAGACAGCAAATTTGATGCTAGATTTTAACTCACTGCTAATGTAACAGGCAAATAGGAGCACTGATTCTTGTGCTGAGTCACTGCAAGATTCCCTGTGCACTGTCTCTAAAGTAGAGCTCACAGTGAGAAGCCTGCAGGACCAGCAACCAAAAAGCACAGAGGCAAATAAATATCTCATCAATTGACTGGTAAGCCAAGCAAGCAATTCCTCTCCCTGGTCAGCGGTGGTGGTTTGGCAGACTGCAGCCCTTCCAGGGGGAAAACCAGCAGCAGCTCCTGAGATCCATGCAATATTGGAACTTAGGACACTGGGAAGCCAAGCAAGCACCACCACTCCCTGGTAAGTGGTGGTGGTCTGGCCGACTGCAGCCCTTCCAGGGGGAGAACCAGCTGCAGCTCCTGAGATCCATGCCATGTTGGAACTTAGGACATTGGGAAGCCAGGCAAGCACCTGCCCTCCCTGGTGAGCAGTGGCAGTCTACAAACTGCAGTCCTTCCAGGGGAGAACCAGCAGCAGCTCCTGAGATACATGCAACATTGGAACTTAGGATGCTGTGAAACCAAACACCATCCTGTCTCCCTACTAAGCAATAGTGAACCTACTGATGCACCACCTAGAGTCAAATATCCCATCTCCCCTAACCCTCTACTCCTGTCACTCCCCTACCCCCCACCCAACCCCATTAGCAAATGAACCAGAAATCTGAGCATCTCCTGGGAAGTTAGGGTTAGTCCATAGCAAATAAGGGGGACTTCCTTCTACTATCTCTTTGAAGGCAAATATTTTTATTACTGTTTGGCTCTATTCTGATTAATGGTACTGCTCTATTCAATATTCTGTTTTGATGAGTTCTATAATGTTCTGTATTTCATCTCATTTTGATATACGTGCTTGAAAGAAAAACTATTAAAAAGATAATGAAATATACTGTGATACCTACTACTGTTATCCCAGTAAGCTGTTGTGAAGTTGTGTACCAATTTCACTGTATGATCTTAGTTGGGCTTATTCTGCCTTGTTCTGTTATATGTTATCTATTTCAAAATTTAAAAAAAGAAAAAAGTCTCATCAATCACTTTGATAGACTATGGAAGATGTATCTTCAAATCTCATTTAGAACAGTGAGTACTTTGTTCTTAATATAGTTAAGCAGCATTTTGAAATATGAATTTGGTTTCATAGAACAAAACATAAATAACATCAAATATGGTACATAAATAATAACTCAAATGTTAGTGGAAAACAGCTATATTTTAAAAATATGTATATAAAATGAAACCAGGCCCAAGCTGTAAATTATACCTCACTGTCACCAAGTGATCACTTTCAATTCAGATATAAGAAATATATCTTGGGAGGCTGGTGATGGAGTTCTTCCTTGAACTTGGGGCTATCCTAAAGTTACAAAGCTGTCTAAAATATTCAAACCCTGACTGAGACACCTCAAATACAATGTGAAATCTAAAAAGTGACTGCATAAAACAGCTTTGGTTTGTTTTAAAAAATTATAGCCATACAATACAGAAAAACTCCAACAGTACTCAACACTTTCTGAGAAACAATGTGGATATCTTCCATACTACACAGAAAACATGTTCATAGTTGAGTATTTAGCTTACTGGCATGACCGCCTGCCTGGAAAGCATAGATCATGAGTTCGATCCTTGCTACAAAAATACTCAAATCTCAACTTCATGACACTGGGGCATAAGTAGAGATAATCAAAATTAGATCTCAAGTATGAAACACAAAATTCATAGGTTGACAGGGATGTGTAATACTGATTGTTGCCAGAGCTGGTGTTGATCACCTCAATGAAGCAATCAGAACCCAACTTTAACTTCATACTTACTCTAAGAACTACCTGACTTTCAGTGAAGACCTTCTCTGTTGTATGTCCTGCTATTTGCTTCCTAAATCCTGTCAGTCACTTCCACATCCTTTCCACACTCCTCTGTTCCATCCTAAGCAGAAAACCCTTCATGCCTAACTTTTGATATCACTGAAAAATTTCTATTTATGGCTCCTCCTTTACACCACTTAGACAAGTCCATTGCAGGGCATTTCCATATTTAAACTATGAACAACCAAGCTATTAAATCAGCTCTTAATTCAGAGATGACACTTATATTCTTTTGCATTCAGAAGGATATCACGAGTATATGTCCATGCAAATGCCTAAATTTCAGCATTTTTCGACGAGAATTTAACAGGTAGCGCTTTCTGGAATTTGTCCTTCACAAACTTTTACCCTGGCCTTGATAAAACTTCATATTTGCTTCACTTTTCTCAGACTTCAAAACTCTATGGCTGTTCCCACAAACCTAGTCTGTGAGCAGTGGTGCCACCTAAATAATTAAGTATGTTCAGAAATAATTTGCACTGATCTGTATAATACACAGGAGTTCACCAGGTGTTTGGGAAGCCTTTCTCCAATGACGCACACTACTACAAATCTCTGAATTCTCAGGACCTTTGTCACTACCTGTCCTGAGGATGGAAATAAGAGAACATAAATTTAGGAGATCATTATAAATACAAAAATGCCCAAGTTTAAGTTGAGCCATTGTGGCTATGAGGCCCTGCATTACAGACATTAATAAACCTCAGACATTCCAGATCTGCTACTCTGAGGAAAGAGAGCATAGATCTAGCTCATTCCTGCTCTA